GAGTGGGAGTGGGAGTGAGAGTGAGAGTGAGAGAGAGAGAGAGAGAGAGAGAGAGAGAGACGGAGCAAGACAGAGAGCAGGAGCGACAGGCTAAAGTAGCCAAACGCACATGCAGCTACCGCTGCCTGTGCAGAAACAGCTGGGAGGTGCAGCGTCTCTGTGACCTTACAGGCAGGCTCAGCCATGCTCGGGCCCCGGGTGTTCCTAAAGCTTCCGGCCTCTGGGGTGCAACATCGATGCCCCCGTGCCTTCAGTTCGCTGCTCGATTCGCCTGCAGAAAGGCTTCCAAGGCCACTCTTTTGGTGCTTTGAAGCATCGTCCCTGCCTCGAGAGGATGGGCGTGCTGATGGCATCCTCAGCACGTCAACGAACGCACACCAAGCAAATGGCAGTTGAACCTCGCACAGTGCTGCTCGAGAGCGGTGGCCGTGTGGGGAAGAGCTGATCGCTGGTCGGCGGACCATCCCACAAGGACCAAGACAAAGGAGTACCTCCCGATCACAGCAGCAACACTGCAGAGCTCGAAAATGTCGGAATCTCCAGAGCAACGAGACTCCACAACCTCTCAGCCACTCATGCAGCTTAGACCAATGCAAGCCATGGATTCGGGCACTCTCTGGGAATGCTGGCGACCTGAGACTCAGCTCACAGCGGCAACGGCTAAAAAGTCACCACTCGTTGCCGAGCCCTGCACTGCTCGACCGCAAAGGCCGAGAGATCCGCGGCAGAGTCTGGCCTGAGGAGCAACTTCCGCTGCTTTCCTCCTTGATGGTCTGCTTCTTCACTGGCGGCCCGGCACTTCGGGGAGCTCGGTGGAGTCCGAGAGCCTGGGATCTGGACTTGCCGCCCTGAGCTGAGCCCCAAGATGCCCCAAGGCTCCCGACGCGCTGCCGCAGGCGGAGAGGTTGCGCTCCACCACGGTGCGCACCCAGCGCGGCGCGGCCGGCCTCGTCTCGCTGCGCTGCAAGGGGTCACGGGCTCCGCAAGACTCGTCGCAAGGAAGGTGGCCTGAGGAGCGTCTCGTCCAACGGCACATCCAGATACTCCTTCAAGCGGGGGCACTGCACCAGCGATGTACCTGGAGCTCCCTGTCCCTGCCTCGGCTTGTGCCTGGGCGGATGCTCCAGCACCAAAGCCACCAAAGCCACCGAAGCCACCGAAGCTGGAAGCCTTCCGGGCCAGGCTGCGAGAGCTTGCAGACACCGGCTGCGCAGCTCTCAAGTCCGACAAATCCGATGGCCCCGACGACATGCAGACGCGTTCTTGGGCTAAGATGCCCGGTCACTTGAACGAATGAAGTTAAGACAAAAAGTCCTCAACTGTGAGATCAAGACAAAATTCTAACATGCATGCAGGGCGAATTCTCCTAATATCGATTGTTGGTAATGCTTCCGCTATGTTGGTGGACATCATGCCGTGGTGCCTGTTGACTTTAACAACTCATGCTGCTCTTACCGGCCCTTGAAAAGGACAGCGAAAAACCCGCTACGCCGCTACCGCTGCCACCTGCATGGAGAGATCCGTCTGCGACTCCCGCTCTGGTGGCCTGGTTCAATTCGTGGTTCTCCGGGGCTGTCACGGATACATGTCTACAGTAGACCACGGAATAAGACTGTAAGGCCTTACAGCCGAGTATCGGTGCCACCAAGCGCCAGCCGTCGGGGATCCCCGAAGGCAAGGCGACGCTGCAAACGGGCCGATTGGTGCTCGCCGCACTCGGGGGCCGAGGTCTTCCCGAACAGAAAGGACCCGCCGAAACCGGTCCGATCTCCGGGTCCTGTCACTTTGAGCTTTTGGGTCCAGCATTAGCCGCTCAATCGGGCCACCGAAGCGCCTCGGCTTCGGAGGGGAGCGCGGCTTCCGAGGCGCCAGGCTCCTGGCAGAGTCAGTGCCACTCAAAAACCGCATCACTGTTAAGTCGTATTACTAAGTCGTATCCTGATGATCCGATTCTCGTTAGTGCAGCTGCCTCAGCCTCACCCACCAGCGGGTCGTCTGCATTCATGCTCATCGAAAGCAGACAGCCTGGTGAGCCGCGAAGCTTGGCCCCTAAGGTCACAACACCAACTCCCCTCCCGACAGGCCTTGAGAGCTAGCAGAACGAGCCTCCAGGCCCACAAAACGACCTGCAGCCTTCGCGGCGGCTGCGAGGAGCGACTACAGCTGCACTGCTCCCATCGCCTGCACCGTCGAGGATGCTGAAGAAGGCCGGGAGAGGGCCCTTGGAAGCATGACCTGCAACAGGGCATCCTAGGTTCAGCCTTGGAGGAGCGGATGCACATTGCCCAGCTCGCGAGAATCTACAAATTCCCACAAGATCGTGCCAGCACAGATCAAGTTTGTACACTCCTGCGCCTCTTCAATCGACCGACGCTGGAGCTCCAGCTCCTATAGGAAGGCAACTTGAACAAAAACTGCCAAGAGCTCAGGCTTCATCTGCAGCGAAACAGGCTGATTGTTGGATGAGGATTGCGGAGGCTCGGCGGGGGCAGCGCAGATCCAGACTGGCCTCCGGAGGAAGTGGTGTGCCGGTCCGGCTCGGAGTTGGCTGAACAGGCAAGGCAGGTCACCTCCGAAAGATGTCAACGGCCGAAACTGCCTCTGAGAGTCTGCTTGAAGAGGACGCACGGGCTGGCACCTTCACCGAAGACTTAGCCGTGACTTACTTGCCCTAACTGCTTTAATGAGCATATCCTGCACCTGGTTCACAAGTGCAGCCCGCTGCATCTCCGTCTCAAAGCTCAGGGATGCCTGATCCGGGAACCAGCAGAGGATCACACTTCCTCTCTGGACACCAGGGCATATTTTAGGGACATGGGGTCGCTCAGAGGAGCGAATCGAGCGAACCTGTGGCACTTCGGCCAGGTCAAGTGTTGGTAATGCTGACACTGACGGCGTCGGCTTCAGAAATTCACAGGTTACACGTGTCAAGAGGCAAAAGCTGGGCCCTTTGCAAGTGCGGAAAAGCTCGTCACGCTGCACAATGACATTGATGGCAGCAAAGAAGTGACAACAAGACTGGATACGAATCACACCAGATAGGCCGATTAATGTGTGAAAAGGCGGCTGATTGCTCACTAAGAGCTAAATGACGAGCAATGACATGTTCTCTGGGCATCTGTGGCGGCACTCTCGTGCTTTCTAACCCGGCACTGAGGCAAGCACCATCACCTGGTATGATCGAAAACGTTTCTCCTCGCGCAGCGAGAAACCGAAATGTGACTCTGCTCTTGCGCATTGATGAAGACGAGAACAGCGACCTTGTGCGAGGGAAGCCTGCCCTCGGTCACGGACCTTACCCGACGTGTCGTCCCTTCCATCCTCGCCCAAGTGGCCGACGGGCTGGAGTGTCTGACCCTCAGCACGCGGCAATCTCTCTTTCTTTCGCAGGGGCTGGAGGAAGGGGTGCGACCCCTCCCCTCGCGAGAGTGCGCCCCCATTTATAGCCGGTGCCAACGGAGGCGCACGCTGCAAAAGCAGATCGGGCTTCAGATGGAACATGCATATACATGCATCACACATTCACGCCACTTCAACGGAAGTTGCAACAACCATCACTCACACTGGAGCCCATGGCCATCTGACTTGCGCAAAGCTTCTCCAACACTCAGCAGTTCACCACAGATACCCGATCTCTCCCCTCAAGTCTATGACGGGGGAAGAGGGCCACGACAGATCACGACTGCAAGCAGCTAGCGGGGCTGTCACTGGGCAAAAGCTGCGAGGGACGCAAAAACAAAAACAACGCACGACTCTGCACGTATGTCTAGTACTGGGGGTTGGGCTTGCGTTGTAGTGCAACTCGGAACATCATTATCCTGCTGCTGCCGTTGTGCGTCCGCAGGGCAATCTACGGCTGAAGAGCCAGTTCTTCAAGCTTATGTCCAGTGGGAGTAGCTTGACAAGCGTAGTATTCTGTGAAATTCTGTGCCTCTCGGCCATTGAGGCTAGTGCTTATGGTCTCGCTGAGGCCGGTGCCAAGCGCAGATGCACTGGGTCCTGGAGTCTCTACGAGCGCTATAGTTTCGTCGCAGACACCGACGCACCCAGCAGCTCTGCGGCCTGTGGGGTCCAGGGCAGCAGCAGGGGCTCCAGCCGCCGCCGGCCTCGAGGATGTCCTGGAAGTCAGAGCCATTCGAGTCGAAGGAAATGTCCGATGCTTTCCTGGCCTTGCGGCCGTCTCGCGACGGCTGGCCCTCTTCCCAGGCTCACGGCCTTCCGAGGCAGAAAATGCAGCAGTGGAACCTTACAGTGTCTGATTGCAGTTTCAATGCCCGCCTGCGGGGACTGGAGCAAACGCCTCAGGTTGCGCAGGCTTAAGCCCAGATGCACCTACTTGTAGCACTTAATTGTTCCTTGTTCTGGTACTGTCCTACTTTGCTCACATCCAAACTAGTGGCATTTCGCATGTCAAACCTGTGAAGAGCTTGCCTTGACAGATGGGTGCTGAGTCTCCGGCGAGGCATCCGTGATGAGCTCGCGCGCTGGCTGCAGGCCTCCTACAAAGCCTTGGGAGAACTCAGGCTGGAAGCAAAAGCCAGAAAGACAAGACGCTCTGTGCCTTCCTCACCACCGTCCTGCAAGGAGTCTCACGGCTCTCAGCTCTCGATGTCAAGGTGCTTTTGTAGCGTCCTCCGACTCGAAGTCACTGGCTTCTGAAGCTGAGGCCATGCCGAAGTCTCCCTCTCTGCCTAAGAGCCAGAAGAGACATGACGCTAGTAGGAAGAGCTGGTGGGGTGCTCCGGTGCTCCAGCCTGCCAGAGGGCTGTCCATACAGACGTCGGTAGTCACCCGCCTCTCCACACAGGTGCTGTGTTCTGACGTCGCATGACAAGGCCTTTCCCCCAGGTATGTGAAAACTTGTCAAAACACCTTGATACAATAATCATCTATCAGTCTTCAAAACACACTGGAATCACGTTGAATTGTCCCTGGACTGCCCAAGCCTCTGCGGGGTTCTCGACGGACCATCCGCGTTGACAAGCACACCAAGGGCGTCGACATCCCTGAACAGCACCCGACACAACAGCAGCAACTGGCAGAACCAGAATTCTCGCGCCAGATTCTGATGACCAATGCAATTCCCTTCTGCCTTTCTGTCAGGTCGTCCACAGTGATGAACCCCGCCTGCAGAAGCTGCAGCAAGGCTTTTCGAGCACCTTCGAGTTCCGAAAGAGTGATATCCTGTCCCAGTCCTCCACATCCTGGTCGAATCTTGGGCTCGTGGTGAGGCTGTCGATCAAGCTCTGCCGCATCTCCTGGGAGCTGCGGCATCGTGACGCATCAGGCAAAACCCGCAAAGAATGGGCCAAGTAGCCTTGAAGGCTGAGTCCAAGAGATTCGCCTGCGATGCTAGCTGTCACACTGCAAGCCGCTGGCCATGAAACTGTCCGACTGCTGGAGGGCCAGATTCGGAGGCGCAGGTTGTGTTGACCCGATGAGGGGATAAAAGGCCGTGGTGAGCCCGGGCATAGCCGTAGCCCGTTGTCCTGGTGGCTCTTGTCTTCACTCGTCACCGCGTGAAGCAGACGCTGATGGTAAACCTCCTGAGCTGCCACAACCCCCAGGCTTCTACTCTTGTAGCCAGAGCTTGCAGCCCCTCAAGTACCACTCTACCGACACATGCGCCCCGCTGACCCGATTCGCGTGAGGCAACACCCAACATCATCTCAAGGCCGAGAGACTCGAAAGGCCTCTTCAAACTGTTTGACCTGCCCAATGCTGAGCAGATGTGTGTCCTCTCCTTTTTTCTCGGCAGACGGCACCAGAATGCCTAATTCTCCTAATAGTCATTAGAACTGCCTGCCGAGGTCAACCTGCAGATTCACGAACTTTGCATCTGAAAACTGCAACCTACTGCCTTTGCCTTGTCTTGGTTCGCCGGACTGAGCTCATCAAATGCATCTGCAAGCAAAAACGCCAAAAAGGGGTCAGGGCTGGCTGAAAGATCATGAAGTGATGAGTCGGACAAGCACCGCTGGTTCTGCACCAGCAGCAACAACGACGACCTCGTCTCTTTTGCTACTCTGCTACTTCTACTTCTCTCTACCAGCCAACTGACCATCGAAGGCTGGATGCACATCTAAATCAGGCCTGCCGCAAATAGTTTTAGGGTGCAGCACTGGTGACCAAGTTCTCTAGCATCCCAAACCGCATCCGCGAGTGGTTGAGACAAGTCTTTCTGCTTCTGCATGTTGTGCTGGCCGGAAACTTCGGACGCACTGGCAGTGAAAATGCTTCGTCACATACTTTCACGAAGGACACAAGCTTAACATCTCAAGGGCTCCTCTAGGCTTCGAAAGCACTGAGCGCGCCTGAGATGTACGAGCCAGATGCACTTGACGATGCGCTGCCTCCCAGTGGCAGCAGACGTCTGCATCTCCGGGGCATCCGGACAGAGAAAAGAGGCAGACTGCTACCACAGAGCGCGTACCTCTCGAGCTCTCTCTGGAGTGGCTGGCTCCGTCGCCATCAGCTTCAGGGAGATCGTGCGACTCTCTGAGCAACTGGCCACTGCTCCTGCCATCGCGGCCTGTGCCGCTTGGCATGCCTTGTCTAGAAACGGGATGCAAGACCAAGGGGGAACTTCTTAGCGCTCCGCCTGTAGCAAAGGAAGAAGAAGAAAAACAGACCAAGCTCGGTCGTGCGCCAGCAACATTGAGTCAACACGTTTCCAAACCAAGCTGCTGTCAAGTTCATGGAAGGGGCTTTCGACATTCCGCGAGCTGCCTCACAA